TCTTGCGCGCCGAGATCCCCGGCCCGAGTCTCCCGCTTCTTGCGCGCCGGAGGAGTCCCACCGGTCCACGAGCTCCCGCTCTGCGTCTGGTCGAGGCGGCCTTCCGGCCCCGTCCTTCCGCCGACTGCCCTGCGTTCCCGAAGGCCGTTCCTAGCGGGGTGCCTTCTCTGGTTCCTCAACCGTCCTGCGGGGCCGCTCTGTCCACTGCCGCCCTTGGGAGGTTGCCTTGTTCTGATACCCTAAACCCGTCTGAAGAGTCGTCCCAGAGGTTGCTTGTCCTGTATCCCAACACGCCCTCGCGGGCGTCCGTCTCATCAGCGCCCTTTGAGTTGTTGCCACGTGTCCTGTGATCCCAACCGTCTCTTGGTTGGCGTCTTTCTCATCTAGACGCCTTGGAGTTGCCCAAGGTGTCCGTGTATCCCACCGTCCTGGGGGCCGTCTTCCATCAGAACGCCCTAGAGGTTACTCGTCTTTTTTTGTCCTAGTATCCCAACCCGTCCTGGCCGGCGGGCCCGTCTTTCTCATCGAGCCGCCCTGCCGAGGTTGCCGTGTACCTGTATCCCAACCATCCTTGGGGCCGTCTGTCTCATCAGACGCCCTGGAGGTTGGCCGTCCGTCCTGTATCCCAACCGTCCTCGCGGCGGGCCGTCTTCTCATATCAACGACCGCCCTTGAGGTTTGCGTTTGTTCCTGTATCCCAACCGTTCCTTGGGGCGCCGTCGTTCTCATAGCCCGCCTAGGGGTTGGCAACTGCCTGTACTCAACCGTCTGGGGCGCTTCGCCTTGAGGTTGCCGTGAACCATCCCTAAACCTTCACCCCTGAGAACTCTACTTTGAGTTAGCCGGTTGGCCCAATCCAAAACATACGCGCTTTCGCTAAACTGTACTACGACGCGGGTTATCAAGTGGATCGCTCAAGCCAGCCGTGCCCTATCTAGTTAGGTGCGCGTTCACATGAAAGGGGTGGTATTCGGAGCATTCGACCAATCACAAACATGGAGAAGCATACTGACAGCGCAGCGCGTCATACTTCCTGAATCAAAAGTCAACTTTTTATTAGACAAATATGAAGACGTTAAACTTTAAACATCCATGACTTAAACACTTTATCCAGGATAAAAGCCACATAGTTGCACCTGAAAGGTGAATACAGCTGGTACAAGAAAAAGTGTTTGAATGCGTACATTAACAGGTTTATGATATGCCCCGTTTAAGACACGATCTGACTTTAATTACATTTGACTCGGGTGTTTCGTAATGTGTTGCTTAAAATAATACTTCTGCATACAGTATGTGACACTGTGAGTGTTGCACGGCCAGATACGGCTCAGCTGACTCAGATAAGGAAATATATGATACATTATGATGTGATATGCCGCGGACTCAGTGGCGTAGCGGAGAACTACTTAGACTAAGTTAGCCAGGTTGATGTTAGTGTTCAAAGTGTGAACAGAGGTAAGTTTTTGAACCAATTCATACATATGGATAAGTCAATTTGATAATGGAAAATACTTTACTTTTTTTATTAGGTTAATGCATTTTTGATTTAATAAATTTCTATTAATAACGGAGGAAAATTTCAAATACTGGGTATAAATATGAAGATCACTTTAAGCCATAACGTTATATGACACAAATATGTTGTGTCATATAACGTTGTGTTTAAGAGTTTATATGCGTATTATATGACATATACGGGTGTAAGATCGGTTGTAGGGAGGGACATATTGGAGGGACGCGTCGAATCACCGAGCCCATACCACCACAATAATACGAAGCTTTCACACGTACAACCTCACATACCTTTTTGTCGGGGGTTTACTGTATCAGTTGGCAGGGTATCTCTTTACCGTCTAACGACTCACCATGGCAAGCATCGTAATGTACATGTCTAGCTTCGTTAAGTTCACGATTCGTGTCGTCGTTCAGGATAGGGGGACATACGGGTACGGCGTAAACAAAGTGTGTAGGGGGGGTGGTTTTTTATAAGTTTGTTCTTGACTAAAAGTCGATTGTGTTCGATATCTTGTCATAGTTGGTTATTCTTCCGTGTAAGGTAGTAGTTGACAGCGGTTCACCGTCGTTTGACATGACACACAAAGAGTGAACAAATATTTGGCCAAAAAGTCTGCGAAGGGAGCGAAGATGGTATCAGTGGAAACGATAATCGTCTTCTCTCGGTACTGGTAACGGGGTCGTCGACTGTTCTACATAAATAAAATAAAATATAAAATGTACCATTGAAAAGAAGTTATTAGTAGTAACTGTTTACAGTACGACAAACCTACCTTACGGGTTTATGGGATTAGATTTCGGTAGTGTTCGTCTTGAAGGGGGACTTTTCGGTCTGTATAGGAATTTCACCGGTTATATGAAAACATATGTACAAAATTACAAAAAGATCCATAGTCTAAAAGTCTTTTCCTTCCTTACCCCACCTACTAACTCTTTGTTAGAACAAATCCCCCAATAAACGAGTAACAAGGGGTAAAAAAATTCGAAATACCAATAACAATAAAAAATTCGATTTTTAGGACCGACTCTAAAGAACACTGATAACGAAGCACCAAAAGTCTTGTTACGACAAACAACACGACACGTCTAGGAGACTGGGTCACAAGTCTCATTTGAGTGGTTCGAAAAAAGTCGTTCGTGGAAATATCAAAAGTATTCAACGGGGGAAATTGTCCCCAACAAAATGGATTTTTATCCGGACTTGTTCCTGTTTAATACAAAAATCTCAGACATAAACTTTGGTTTTCGTAGTTGTCCCCGGACATACATTTAGTAGTAGTCATAGGAGTTGAATGGGTGATCCATACTCGACCCCAAACGACACCATCGACAAGACGCCGAATCCTCGGTGTTTTACGTCTCCCTTGTCGGGAGGTTAGTGTGTGTAGGGGAGGGCTGACGTTCCCGGTTTCGAGTGACAGGCGGTCAAAGTCTGTGACCTCCATTCTATCTACGTTGTGCGAGAAAGTGCAACTAGATTCATAAGGGTTTGAGGAAACAAAGAGGCGAAGTCAGAGAAGAATTAAGCTGTGTGGAGTGAAAATTATACAAGAAATGAAGGGTAGTGGAAAATCCCTTGTAATTTTTGTTGACTCTTTGCGTCCGATTTTATCCTTGTTTATTCGTCGAGTCCCGTCCTGAGGTCGTCCCTTTTTAACATCACATATGACTGGGTATTTCCTGGCATTATAAAAACAAATGTGGTTAGTAGTGTTGCTTTATGTTTAAAGATACCACCTTCTGATGTCGCCGAGCACACTTTACACAAACCTCTACTGTAATTATTACCCTAATTTAATAATGTAAATAAAGTTTGTTATCACAATTTCCGTTCCATTCCGTCCGTTCCGTTCCGCTCCGCTCCGCTCCGCTCCGTCCGTATCCGTTACCGTTCGTTCAAATAAATAAAACGTGTAAAGTTGTGTTCCGTTTAAGTTTCACGAAATGTATATTCTTATTTGTAATTTTATTTTTTAATGTACCTATTTTCAATGACACGTCAATTCATACACCTCCTTTTTTTATCAAGTATTAAATTTCGTACGGCCGTTTTTTGAAAAAAAACGGAACGCATCTAAATATTTCATTCAAGTCCAAATAGTACGCCTGGACGTCCAAAAAAATCTCACACAAGATCTATAAAACCCTCGTATATATTAGATTTGGACGAAAATGGTACAAATACAAGACATGAAGACCCTGTCACATTTACGAACGAGTCAGGGAACTCTGGAACATCTCTAGAACCTACACAAGATATTAAAAATCACGTAATCCAGCATTACATAAAAACCCGGTATATTGGTAAAATATTACAGAACAATATTTGGTCAGTCAGTCATAAAAACTTTAGTTAATAAAACTGTGTGTTCCATTCAAGGTTACAAACTAATCTGAAGTCTTCGTCACCACCAATAGATGCATTCAGTCACTAAAAGCGAAATCAGGCCAAAGATTGAAAGTCCCTTTTGAGACCAAAGGACCAGAATGCATTACGACACATTAAGAAAAAATCGCCACAGATACTAAGGTTTACACAAAATTAGAATACGACAGCCAGATATGAGAACGAAGGCCTCCAGAGTCCAATAAACCAACGTCCGACTTCATCGAGTGAGTCACTTACCAAGTGAACGGACGACTGGTTAAAAGTCTCGAGTCACACAACGAGCACTCAATTCGCTAAAAAGTTCAAGTAATAAATAGTACTCTTATACTTAATATAGGTCACCTTATATTTCGACGGCAACACAGTACCTTTACTAGCACGGCAATGTTATTTTAGTGGACTAGACACCCTTAGACACTTGATAAATTATACTTATAAGATGAAGAGGGTAAGAAGTCATCGTTTAAGCTGATAAATAATTAGTAATCGCAATTTCTTTCGAATGAATTTATAGACGGGTGTTGTATTCATTGCCTNTAAAATAATACTTCTGCATACAGTATGTGACACTGTGAGTGTTGCACGGCCAGATACGGCTCAGCTGACTCAGATAAGGAAATATATGATACATTATGATGTGATATGCCGTGGACTGTACTTAATGTTACTTTGATCCGGTTACTTATGTTGTGGCAGATATTTAATTAAGCTTTCTTAATGCTAATTTATAATAGTCAGATTGCTCTGAAGATGGGAGGTGATATTCCATTAATGTTCACGTTCACACAGTCTGTGATCTTTGCCGGCCGTCTTAATCGCAAGTAAAAATCTCCGCACACTGAGCTCTGATTGGTCAACAGACGGTGCTTTCACTGAGTTGAGCTCTTAGCCCGCAACCTCACCTGCTTCGGAGCAGGTTAGCCGCACAGCATAAGTTACCATGGAGATCTAGCCTGCTAAAAAGAGAACCAGCTTCGTAGGACCGGAAACCCAGAGTTTTCCCTGAAGTTAGCCGGCTAAGCGAAAATCCTTCTTCGTAGTAGAGGCCGCTGGTTGAGGTCTACGATGTTTTGTACCAACATTAAAACATTTGTTCTCAACACACCTGCTCGTCTGTTTTGAGGTTTCCGAACTCTTCCATGAAGGTGCTTTCTGAGGGAAACTGCAGTGGCTCCAGGAAATTCAACAAACTGAACAGCTCCTCCACCGAGTTCTGCAGAGGGGTTCCTGTCAGCAGAACCTTTTGCTCCTGTGAGAACCATGACAGGGTTATCTTCAACACAAACACTACATCTCAGAACATGCTGCTTGTCATGGCATTTATTCAAACTGAACTGAAACGGTATCCCAAGAGGTCCTTCAGAAGAGAGAAAACATTACATAAAAAGAGATCGACGATTAGACACAGGAGAAGAGTGCCTGTATGAGAGCCTGGCAGCTAGAAGAGGATCATTCAGACTAGGCACACTGCAACACACTTCTGTATAGTGTATAGCATCCTATGTTCATATATGTTCTCTTAGTATAAGATTGGTCTGAATTATAAATATTCTAACTTATTCTGTATTTTTCATTTTGTGTAGATACTATTGATAAAGTTAATATGTATATCTTAACTAATCTAATTCCATTTTTGGTCACACCCCTAAATGGTTAAGAGTGACATAAAATAAAATAAAGAAAGAATAATATATAAAAAAAAGTAATAATACATTTCATTTATAGATCCATTTTTAAGGTACTCATAGACGCTGCATGTATAGGTTGATTCATTTAAAAATCATTAAAAACAACAAAATAAATATAACACACACATCCTTAAATAGACATTAAATGCAGATTATAGACAATATTCTTTCGAGGTTATGATTTGTGATTTGAACAGATTGGCACACACACACACACACACACACACACACACACACACACACACACACACACACACACACACACACACACACACACACACACACACACACCAGGTTCATGAGCTTGAGTCCCTCCAGCAGCTTGCAGTTCCTGTTCTTCAGCCGGTGGGCCTCGTCGATCACCACACAGCGCCAGTGCAGCTTCTTCAGGTCCGGACAGTCGGCCATGATCATCTCGAAGGTGGTGATCACGCCGTGGAACTTCAGGATGCCTGGGATGGTGTTACCCTGAGAACGCAACAGTATCGATTCAGGGAAGGACATCATCCTTAAATCAGGGAGAGGAGCTTCATTGCATTTCATGCCTCACTCATTCTAATCTTATAATGAAAACGCTTAATGAAAGTGCTGAACGGTGATTTTATTATGCATGAGCACATTTATTCTGAAGAAGAAAGTCAGAACTAGGAGCTGCATACTGTGTTGTAATTATGAGTTCATCAGACTGGACGTGCAGCAGAAGAAATATCAACTAATGCATTTACTCCAGATGTAGAAGTCATGGTAAATAACTACACTGAAATGCTCTGCGATCATTGCATGTCCAAACATGGAGCCACCCTGTATGGGGGGGTGAAGTAGAGAGGAAAAAGAGGTGAGATAAATAAAGATTGTTCAATGGATATCTGTCTTAAATGTGGCCAACAGGTGCAAACCCGTTACACTGGCCAAAAACACTTCCATGAGGAGAAACGCACAGCAGCTTCAGAAAAGATTAAATACAAAAAAAATGCGCCAAAACAATTGCAAATGAAGAAACATCTTCCCCGACTTCACCAACACATGCAAAGCATCTAAAAAACATTCACCAACCTGACGAAAGGTGCGTTTACTAAAAGCACTGCACAAACGAAACACTGCAAGAAGCTTAAACACAACGGGACACTAAAAAGTGACGCACACAGCTGAGAGCGGATGGCTTGTTAACGTTAAGAGATATAAAGTCTCAAATGTAAATATGATTGGCTTGTTTTTAACAACTGAATCGTATGATACCTTCAGATATTATTACAGATTTGCTTTAAGCTATCTAGCTAAAAAAGTTTTGGGCGGCAGTCTCTAGGGACTTGGACTTTGGACCGAAAGGTCTCCGGTTCACGTCCCGATCGGACCAAAGAAATACGGAGTGTGGACTGGTACTGGAGAGGAGCCAGTTCACCTCCTGGGCCTTGAGCAAGGCACTTAACCCCCAACTGCTCCTGGCGCCGGCTAGACTGGCTGCCTCTCCGCTCTGGATCCTCTCAATGCACGTGCATGTGTGCATATATAACTGTGTGTATTTGTATGTAACTGTATAAAAAAATAATAATATGTGTGTATAAAAAACAGAGTGGAAAATTGATTTTTCCCCTTTGGGGGATCAATAAAGGTCAATATTTTTTCTTTCTTTCTAAAACACCTGAATGGCACTCCAGTCCCAGCTGTGTGCGTCACTTTTCCTGTCCCCTGGTTTCCGTTGTGTTTTGAGCTTCTTGCAGCATTTTGTTTATTCCACACTTTTAGAGGTTCAGGCTCTACCTGTGTGTCTCTGTAGAACATCTCGTACTGATGGATCATCTGCCGGCTGATCTGAGATCCGTGGTACACAATGACGTTCATGTTGGTCCACTGACGGAACTCCCGCTCCCAGTTGGTGATGGTGGACAGGGGGGCGATGATGAGGAAGGGGCCGCGGATCCCCATGCTGAAGATCTCGAACAGGAAGGTGATGGACTGGATGGTCTTTCCTAAACCCATCTCATCTGCCAGGATGCAGTTTTTCCTAGAGCGAAACAGACAGCGAGATCGGTAAGAGCTATAATCCAAATACAGGACATACCTCCATTGATTATGCGGCTCTATTTTGCATGTTTTTTATGATGTCATTGCCTTTGTTTTGTAGGGTGAAAAAAAAGCCTCTTAGCTAACTTTTACACACACAACAATGCTTAGTATTGTTCTCTGTCCCTGTTAAATAAATAAATAATTCTTATGAGTGCATTAATTAAGTTCATTAATAACGATTTGTGTTGGGGAGATGAATTGGCAAGAATCTGGTAGTACAATGTTTATCGTGACACAGCGGTTAGAATTTCATATAAAACAATATGTTGAAGATGAAAATACACATCCAGATGCATAAAATGTTAAAATATATTACTTTTTGTGTGATCACAACAGTGGGATCTGCATTTCTTACAATCATTTTAGCAACATAAAACGTATTTGTGTGAAATCTGAGCAAAGCATTTCACACATTTCAAACAGAAATTAAATATTTAATTTGATAAAATGCAATTCAGCACCACAAACCATACAAAAATGTATCAAAACTTGTATGTCTTTTCATCATGCAGCCTGTTGCAGTTGTTTTTCACTTTTAGCTTTCTTATTTGATCTTACTTCCTATTTTTGTATTAGTAACTTATTAAACTGTGTCCTTTTTTTTTACTTCTCTGTAGAGAGAGATTGTGTTTGTTTCACCGTTGAGTTGCTGCTAACGTTCATCCTAAATGTTAAAATATGGATAACTCATCATTAAATATTCATTTAATTCTGAGGTGTTAAAAGACTTGTTCATTCTGATAAATATATTCAAGCATGATGGGACTGAGAAAAGATTCAGTTATACAGGTGATGGTACATTTACTGTAACAAAGTAATACATTTAATTCAGTTTAGGTTTTATAATACGTTAATGACATGACGTCTCGCTGTGTTATATAAAATTACAACATACAGGAGAGATTACAAACTATTTGTTCTCCTTTGTTTCTAAACACTGCTTACAAATCCACCAGCTAAATAGTGTTAAAACTGGTTTCAGAGCGTTTGTTTTACTCACCTGTTGTACCAGTTGAACAGTAACCAGTTCATTCCCTCCAACTGGTATTCTCGGAGCTGGTTTATATTCCGGTAAGCTCTGGAGTTATCCAACTTCTGCCACTTCTCTGGAAGAGGACGCTCCTGCAATAACAACACACACATTTAAAACTTATATTACCCACTATCCTCTACTAGATCTCCACGGTACATCCAACACTTCCTTGGTTCAATACGGACATATTGGACTTGATGAAGGAAAGAGACTTTGCACTGAAAAGAGCACTGAAAACTAAATTAACCACTGACAGGCATAGGTTTACTTCATTACGTAACAAAGTAACTCAAACAATCAGAAAGGCCAAAACCAACTTCTTCATAACAATAATTAATGAGGCACTAAACACTAAAATAATTTGGGAACAGATTAAAACCTTACTGGAATCAAGCACAGGCCAAAAAAGCAGCTAGAACTAAAAGAGAATGGTAACCTAGTGCAAGACCCAGAACAACTTGCCATAGCTTTTAATATCTATTTTATCAACTCTGTAGATGAAATTGCACAGAACTTTCCTTTGAGAGCAGAACATATTATCAAAGTCGACGAAAGTAAAATGTCCTTTTGCATTCAACCCATATCGGAATTAAAAACCAAAGCAATTATTAATTCTCTTAAAACTTCGACAGCTAAGGACACATACGCTATGGGATTCTACAATGCTTAAATCACTGCAAGATTACTTAGTCTTGCCCTCTTACCGCAAATCATCAATTCTCCGTATGAAGACTGAATTCTAACCCCATTTTCAAGTCCAGGTGCCCTCTGAAACATCAACAATACCCAATTAGCATCCTTACCTGTAGTATCCAGGTGGCTGAGAAGTGGGTGTCGAACAGCTTGTCTCCTTCTTAAACACAGTCCCATTTAAACTTCAATCCCATGCAGTTTTGGCCTTCAGGGCAAATTATTCAACCGAAACAGCCAACCTGCTTTTTATAGAAAAGGTCAAAGCAATGGGTTGACAAAGGAGGTATTGTTGGTGCAGTCATTCCTGGATCAGGCAAAGCCTTTGATACAAGCTCAACCATAAGGTCCTTCTGTCCAACTGTCGGCCTTTTAACTGCTCTCCATTACACTCAGGTTGGATTAAATCATACCTTCACTGGTAGGCGTCGAGCAATGTTATTCGTCAATAATCAACTCTCTCCAGCTCTAGACTTAGCACCGAGTACCACAGAGGTTCAATACCTTGGTCCACTTCTTTTTTCCGCGAATAATTAAATGACCGCCCATCTGTCTGTCCTGATGTGGAAAGCACAGTTATATGCCGATGACACTGTGATATATGTGCATGCCAAGCACAAAAGCAAAAG